GCCGGCGCCCTGGAGATCCAGCGCCGCTTCCCCTCGCCCACGCCCACCAACAACTTCGCCCTGGACGGCGCGGCAGGGACCGTGTACCTGGCGGCCGTCAACCGCCTCTATCAGCTGTCGGGCGCCAACCTGAGCCTGGAGGCGGAGGCGGCCGTGGGCCCGGTGGCCGACAGCCCGTTGTGCCACGCCCCGCAGCTGCCGCAGGCCTCGTGCGAGCACCCACGGCGCCTCACCGACAACTACAACAAGATCCTGCAACTGGACCCGGGCCAGGGCCTGGTGGTCGTGTGCGGCTCCATTTACCAGGGCTTCTGCCAGCTGCGGCGCCGGGGCAACATCTCCGCCGTGGCCGTGCACTTCCCGCCCGCCGTGCCGGCAGCCGAGCCCGTCACCGTCTTCCCTAGCATGCTGAACGTGGCGGCCAACCACCCGAACGCGTCCACCGTGGGGCTGGTCCTGCCGCCGGCCGCCGGCGCGGGGGGCAGCCGCCTGCTCGTGGGCGCCACGTACACCGGCTACGGCAGCGCCTTCTTCCCGCGCAACCGCAGCCTGGAGGACCACCGCTTCGAGAACACGCCCGAGATCGCCATCCGCTCTCTGGACGCGCGCGGGGACTTGGCCAAGCTCTTCACCTTCGACCTCAACCCCTCCGACGACAACATCCTCAAGATCAAACAGGGGTACAAGGAGCAGCACAAGCTGGGCTTCGTACGCGCCTTTCTGCACCCGCCGAACCCGCAGCCCAGCGCGCCGTCCTACGCGTACCTGGCGCTGAACAGCGAGGCGCGCGCGGGCGACAAGGAGAGCCAGGCGCGGAGCCTCCTGGCGCGCATCTGCCTGCCCCGCGGGGCCAGCGGCGACGTCAAGAAGCTCACCGAGTCCTACATCCAACTGGGCTTGCAGTGCGCGGGCGGCGCGGGCCGCGGCGACCTCTACAGCCGCCTGGTCTCCGTTTTCCCGGCGCGCGATCTGCTCTTCGCTGTCTTTGAGCGACCTCCGGGGGGCCCAGCGGCCCGTGCGGCCCCCGCGGCGCTCTGCGCCTTCCACTTCTCCAACGTGCAGGACGCTATCCGCGCTGCACGCACTGCCTGCTTCGTGGAGCCGGCACCGGACGTGGTGGCAGTACTGGACAGCGTGGTGCAGGGCACCGGGCCGGCCTGTGAGCGCAAACGCAACATCCAGGTACATCCAGGAGGTGGGAGCTCGGAGGGACTGGCCCAGGGAGTAGGAGGGGGAACTTGCGCTGAGCCGGCCAGAGGTGTGAGTGAGCCAGAGGGCCAGATGGTGCACAGGACCCAGGTGTGCACGCGGGGATACAGGTGTGCGCTAAAGAAGGCCACAAGTGTCCGTCGAGGAAGTGGGGAGTGACACTGGTGTTGGGGCGTATAAGGCTCAGGTGTGCACATGAGCGCACTCAAGTGTGAGTGCAAGGTGTGTGGGGGGGCCTGGGGGGAGGTGGAGGGGTTAGTTGGTGCTCTATCACCTAGGTGTATGGAGAGGGGTGGTTAGTAGTGCGCCATACCTAGATGCATCTGAGAGGATGCTCTCCTTCTGCGGATTGGTACTCAGGCCCCACCGCAGGGCCTGAAGCTCACAAAAAATCTGAGCAGAGATGTGTCCTGGCAAGTCTGTGACCCCAGGGGAGCTCTTTTTGCATTTTGGGAATGGCAGGTAGGGGAGAAGCTCACAGGCCAGCAAGGAGGAGAGATGAGAGTGACAGTGTGTGTTCTGGACTTGTGGGAGCTGGGGTGTGGCCCAGAAGTATGTGCCTCAGGGACACTGGTCCAACAGGATAGGTCCGGGTGTGCCCAGGACACAGTTGTTTGGAACCCTAAGAAGCTACATGGTTGGCGCACAGGTATGAGACCAACACTCATTCATTCATTCATTCCACAAGCATTAACTGAGCACTTAATATGTAGCACACTTGGGGACTGTGAGGGTAAACAGTAACGTGTGTGGAGTGCTTACTAAGCACAGTCAATGTAATAATGTTTCATTCTCTTGACAACCCTATGAAGCCGGTTCTGTTCTCATCCCATTTTGCAGATGAAGAGACTGAGGCACAGGGAGGTTAAACCACTGGCTCAAAAGCACATGGCTAGGAACCAGCAGAGGAAAGATTTGAACCCAGCCCACCTGACCAAAGATAGGAAGTTCACTGTGTGTATATGTGTAGAGTTCAGCATGGTTGAGGTGGCAGGTCTTTGCACGTGTGTGTGCGTGTGTGTGTGTGTGTGTGTGTGTGTGTGTGTGTGTTGCAGTGGAGGGAGGGCAGGGAGGTGAAGCAGGGTGTCTGCAGTGCAGGGGTAGTTAGCGGGTAGGAGAGAGCTGTGGGAATTGGGTTGGGAAATAAAGAGGGGCTAACTGTGGGTTGGACAGCAGCTGGAGGGCCTGGGGGGTGGGACATACAGGTATGCAGGAGAGAGCTGTGAGCCCAACCCTTGAGTAAGCCCCACCTGGAAGGGGTTTATTTCCCCAAGCACCGTAGGAGGGAAGTATGGGGGTCCTCACTTTCACTTTCCACCTTAGAGGAGGAGGTTCCGAAATGACACCCTGACATCCTGCTGTGTGCCCCCCGCCACACTGTTAAGGTTCTTGCCTGAGGAACCCGTCTCAGTCCCAGGCCACCCTTCCTAAGGAAGCTTCCATTTCCCCTTCAGTCAAATGTGGCACTTCCCCTGCTGGGAATTACCCTCCTTGGTGTCAGGCCCCCTGTAGCCCTGCCCCAGCCTGTCTCCCTGGCCTTCAGGTTATGTCAAGACTCTCATGAGATTAATGAGAGTGGGCGTCTCCAACACTGGGCCTTTGAGAAAATTCAGATTCCTTCTCCCGCTCTCTGGCTCCCACACTGCCCACCACCCAGCTGGCCACCCCTAACTGAAGGTCACCACTGGGCATGGGGGTGGGGAAGAGCTGGAAGAGCTAGACCCGCTGTCCCAGGGTGTCTCCACTGACTCCACTCAGGGTCTGGACTGGTCAGGCAGGCTCTGTGCTCTTCATGTACCCGCACTGTTGGGACCACCACCATTTATGTCCCCAGAGTTCCCCCCCCTGTCACCTTGGGGCTGGGTGTCAGGAGGGAGGTGGGGAGGCAGCCCCTGCTCTGTAGGCCCTGTCTACAGAGGGAAGGCCCTGTGGGGTCAGAGGTAGAGATGGACCACCCTCCACGCCTTCCTTGGGTGGCTTCCAGGCCCTGGGTCCTGGCCGCTTGGTGTGAGCTGATCCATGGATTCCTCAGGCCCCACAGTCTTGCCCTCCCTCGCTCTGGCAAGAGTTGTCCTGGTTCCCACGGTCCCCTATCCCCAACAAGGCCCCCCCCCCCTTGCAGTGACTCACCCAGCTGAGGGGGCTGGGGCTTCCCTCTCCCTAAAGGGGTGGAGCCTCTCCAGGGACACAGTCCAGGGACAGAGTGGCTGAGGGCATAGTCCCCACCCAAGGCCAGATGAGTTCCAGCTGAGGTCATTCGTCGGCCACCCTCCCTCTACTCTTCCCCATGCCCAGCTGTGAGTCTGAGCCAGTGCTGTATCTCCCAGATGTGCCTAAGGCCCTAGGGTCTGGGCCTCAAGC